AATCCCAGCTGCTAGGGAGGCTGAGGCACAAGAATGGTTTGAACCTGGGAGGGGGAGGTTATAGTGAGTCCAGACCGCACCACTGCACTCCAGCCTGGGTGATGGTGCGAGACTCCATCTCAAAAAAAAAAAAAAAAAAAGATGGTTTGTTGTGACAGTTGTACAATGATGGGTAAATTTTATGGTATGTGAAATACAGCTCAATAAAGCTTCTTTAAAAAGCAACAGGACAGAAAACAAAAACAAAAAAAAGCTGGAGCATATATCTGGTTCCCAAAACCACTCGCAGACCTTAGGTTTAGAATTTATATATTATCTATTACTTGGGTTGACTAAACAGATGGTTGTTTATTATTAAACAGGAATTTTCAGATACTTTCATTATTAAAATTATTTGCCCACAAACAATTTTTGTAGGGAAATCTTATATCTTTTGTTAAGTACAAGATAAACATAACAACTCTCTAGCGATTCTCACTTTTTTTTTTTTTTTGAGACAAGGTCTGACTGTCGTTCAGGAGGGAGCGGTGCAGTAGCGGATCCTAGCTCACTGTCGACTTGATTTCCCACCTCGTTGCAGCCTTGACCTCCTGGGCTCAAGCAATCCTCCCACCCCAGCCTCCCAAGTAGCTGAGACCACAGGCACATGCCACCACGCCCAGCTAATTTTTGTATTTTTTGGTAGAGATGAGGTCTATGTTGCCCAGGCTGGTCTTGAACTCCTGAACTCAAGAGATCCTCCCACCTTGGCCTCCCAAAGTGCTGGGATTACAGGCGTGAGCCACCATGCCAGGTCCTAGCAATTCTTAATATAAGGCAGTTTGAGTAGGGTTTCATTTCTGGATTTTAAAAAAAAGCAGCTAGATAAGGCTATTTTTCTTGCTCTTTCTCTAGCTCACTTTTCACACTTTCCCAATAGCTAGAGTGAAGATAGGTCCTGGTCTACACTATTAAAAAGTATCAGGCAGCCGGGTGTGGTGGCTCACGCCTATAATCCCAACACTTTGGTAGGCTGAGGCGGATGGATCACAAGGTCAAGAGATCGAAACCATCCTGGCCAACACAGTGAAACCCCGTCTCCACTAAAAGTACAAAAAAAAAAAAAAAAAAATTAGCCAGGCGTGGTGGTGGGTGCCTGTAATCCCAGCTACTCGGGAGGCTGAGGCAGGAGAATCACTTGAACCCGGGAGGCGGAGGTTGCAGTGAGCTGAGACTGCACCACTGCACTCCAGCCTGGTGACAGAGCGAGACTCGGTCTCAAAAAAAAAAAAAAATCAGGCATCTCCTTTCATTCTCAAAAGTGTTCTGAGTTGGATGATAAATTAGACAAACTGTCTACAGCAGAATTATCCACATCATTGTAACTTCCACTAACATGAAGGGAAACCCCTGAAGGCTTTAAAGACTTCAAGTAAGTATAAACTATATAACCATAAAAATTTTACTATTAGTCATTTTACAGTTGAGGATCTGGGGCACAGAGAAATTAAAATAAGTCTAAGACCACGTGTTTTAGATTTGAGGTCTTTAACACTACCACAACCACTCCTTACAGAATAAGTACTATTTCTACATTTTTCTGTTGGAGGTGTTAACTATTACTATCTACATTTCATGGATGAGGAAACAGGCTTTGACTTATCACTTACCGGGGGTTATAAGGAGGTTAAGTGGTAGAACTGGGATATAAACCTAGGTCTGCTTGACTTCAAAGCTTGTACTCCTAACCTTTAAGCAGAATGCCTCTCATAAAACGGAACGTGGGTGTCAGTATGGGTATGTGTTTGCTCCACGGTTTGGTCTAGGGGAATCTGTATCACTATAACATTGTATGCAAAATTTCCTATGTTTATATAAATTCTTCTAGAGAAAGGGTCTAGAGCTTTCAATAGATCCTCATAAGTATTTACGATACCAAAAAGAAAAAAAATCTAGAACCTGTTAGATTGCTTTGTTAGAGAGGTAAGCATTTAAGATAATCTACATATTTTATTATCAGTTGTTACCGTCATAACCAGATTTGTCAACTAACATAATTAATAATTACTGAAAAGCAGTATATATAGGTATATTTACTAAGTATATAAATACCATAATTACAGGATATGATATTTTAGACCTTGCACTTCTAAAAACCGAGGGTGAAGCCCTCATTTAATACTGAAGATGACCAGCAGTCACAACAAAGAGCAGGGAGTGATGGTAGAAATTTCTGTTGCTGGTGACCAAACTCTACTTACTGGAGTAGCTGTGGATTAAGCAGTTTTCTCACAAGCTATACTGACCTAAGGTAAAATTAACTTAGAAGTACAAAATGGCCGGGCGCGGTGGCTCACGCCTGTAATCCCAGCACTTTGGGAGGCTGAGGTGGGTGGATCACGAGGTCAGGAGATCGAGACCATCCTGGCTAACACGGTGAAACCACGTCTCTACTAAAAATGTAAAAAATTAGCCGGGCGTGGTGGCGGGCACCTGTAGTCCCAGCTACTTGGGAGGCTGAGGCAGGAGAATGGTGTGAACCTGGGAGGCGGAGCTTGCAGTGAGCCGAGATTGTGCCACTGCACTCCAGCCTGGGTGACTGAGTGAGACTGTCTCAAAAAAAAAAAAAAAAAAAAGTACAAAATTAGAAAGATGTACAATAAGGAACATCAAGCTACATTAAAACAAATAATTTTGTGCTTTTATTTCTTGATAAGTAATATGAATTAGTTTTCTTAAGAAGGATAAATAGTGTTGGTTGGAATTTGGGGAGACACTCTTTTTTTTCTTAAGTTGGTATCCTTTTAGTTTTTGTAAAAATAATATTGCCTTCAAACCCTCATACTGGCAACCTATTAGCATTTATGTCCTCTGATAACATTTGACCAGATACCCCAGTATAACTGTACCATTGTTAAATTACTGAAATATCTCCATATGGACAGAATATAGGTATATATAACACAGCCTATATGTAGGTATATATAACAGGATAATAGTAATGGCAATAAGTAGCAAAATTAATATCAATTCCAATATGAATTTATTAGTTCAAGTTAACTGCCACTAAATATCATAACTGCCAATAGGACTTGACCTTCCTGCTGTAGTATAACATGTGACTTGGTTGATATTCTTTATGAATATGTACTGATATATGTGGATATTGAATATGTGATAATTTTAAACAATATCATAAAGACTAGAAATTTTTGAATGAAATAGTTCAGCAAAAGCTGAGTGGATTCAGCAATATAAACCTTTTCTTTTCTTTTTTTTACAGTGAGAGAAATTCTTTTTATTCAAACTATCTAATGATGGCACCCTGCAGTGGTAATGGAGTAAGTCAGAACCTGGGAGTGGTGCTGGCATAGATGTGGACAGTCACCATTTGGCTATTTAATGGACCAAGCAGTGTCAGGAGGAAGAGAGATACCCACCCACTGCATTGAAGGAGCTTAAGGAGGGAAAGGAATAGGTAGCATAGCCAGGTGGCATTATGGTCCTCTGGCTTGTGGCCATGTAGAAAGTACTGCTATCTGGGTACATACTGACTCTTGACTGGGGGCAACACAGCTAGCTTTCTGGCCACAACACAGTGCTAAGTACTGTTTTTTAATTTATACATTAATTGGTACTAATTTATTAGTTTTTTTGTCTTTAAGAGACTGGAAACAGAGAGCCAGCTAATATTTTCCTTATTTTGATTTTGGTCTATTTTCCCCTTTTTAACCTTTCCGTATTACAAACAAGTAATCACAATGGATTTTTCTTCCAAATTTAGAAGATCTGGCAAATACGAGCACACTATCTATAAATTCACGTAACAGCTTTGGGAGGTGATTCTGATAACACTGCAAAAAATTATACTGACTAAATGTTGGGGATTCTAGTGTTTTCATGATTCATTTTCTGGGCTTCTTTAGTTTTAGGCACCCTTGTAAATTTGCAGGATGCTCTTTCAGCGGTTGTTGTGCTTATAAATAAATGTTTCTAAGGTTGAAATCAGAGCTCTATCAAACTCAACTTTACACAGAGGAAACATATCTAACAGTCAACCCCTAAACTAAGCAACCTAAACTGTAAATGCACAATACTGGGTAAGAGAAATGGCAGTAAGAGTTATAAACACATCTCCCTCCACTACCATAAAAACAACAAAGGTTTGGATCCTGTCAACAGTTTATAGCATCATAGACCTTTAAAAAAGATTGCATGTGGTCTGCAAGCATCTGTTTATCCCTTCCCACATCAAAGAAGAGTATTGTAGTCCTATACCTAAGTAGGGAAAAAGACAAGCAAGAGTAGGAGGTCTTAGACTTTGAGTTCCTTCTGTCTAGGCTCTGATACAACAAGAGGCTGGAGTGTTTGATCATCATTATCCATAATGTGAAGACCCAATGGTTGGAAAACACAAAAGATGGTGCTTCCGTGATCTTCAAATTAACCATGTCCCTAGTTTTAACAGATAAATGAGGCCGGGCACAATGGCTCACGCCTATAATCCCAGCACTTTGGGAGGCTGAGGTGGATGGATCACGTGAGGCCAGGTGTTCGAGACCAGTCTGGCCAACATGGTGAAACCCCATCTCTACAAAAAATACAAAAATTAGTTGGGCATGGTGGTGCTCGCCTGTTCCCAGCTGCTCAGGAGGCTGAGGCAGGAGAATTGCTTGAACCCAGGAAGCGGAGGCTGCACTGAGCTGAGATCGCACCACTGCACTCCACCTGGGCAACAGACCAAGGCTCCATCTCAAAAATAAAAAATAAAAGATATATGATCATTTAATAACCTATGAAGTCTTAATGGATCTTAGTGTTTCTTCTTGGTTTCTTCTCTAAACTCACTAGATCCTCATCCAAATTTTATTTTCCTTCTCCTCCTTTCCCTCTCTAACCCCTAAGCCCATCTTAAGTGAAAGAGTATGGTTTATAAATTTTTGTGTCAGATAGAGAATAGGAAACATTGAGCTAAGAGGGAAATAATATTAGACATAAAAGGTGGATTTGCTGAAACTCACCATCAGAGGGCACAACAGTACTGCAATAAACAACTCCCAAATTCTGCCAGGAAGAGATCCTTTGGTGTACCTAGACAACATAAAAGATACATCTACTGTCAGAATGGAACAACAAACATATACTTATGTGTGTGTATATAATAAATATATAAATATGATTACTTAAGTAATATGTATGCTTTGTAGAAAACTTTAAAAATATAGATAAAAGAAAATAAAAGTCTTTCAAACTCTTATCATCCTAAAATAATAGTGGTGAACATTTTGGTGTTTTCAAGATTTATGCAAACACATTTACATATACAAACACAAGTATACATGTTACATTAAACAAAATTAGAATTATACAAATCATGTTTTATGTACTTTAAAAACACTTAATATTGATTCTAGGTACTATCAGGCCTCAAGTAAACTTTCTGGCTTTTTCTTCCTCTGGTTACCTTTCAGACCTTTATCTCCTTCCTATCTCTTACCAGGTATAACAGTTATTAAGTAGCTGTATCAACAATTTACTATTATGGAGTAGGTGTCTGGTCTTTATGTTCACTCTCCTTTTTAAAAAACTTGGAGAGGCAACCTCACTACTTGAGTCCTTAATCATGACCGCTTCAGAGTGTTAGAAAAAATCACTCCCACTCACATCCATCTCTACTACTTCCTTGAAGAGCAATGTCACTGTGGATGTGGATCTGGAACTCAGGTTCTCATAACTAAGCCATGTTTCAGAATGAATACTGAATACATTTCTCACTTGGCAAATACTTTATTCCTTTGTATCTTTTACTTTCCCAGCCCCAAAAAGTATCAAAGGAAGAGGAAGGGCAGGCATTAACTGAATAAAATCCAATATACCTGCTTCAGGCCTGACATATTCCATTCCATCAGCACAAAGAAAAATCATTTAGCATCTACTAAGCTGTATTAAGGTGTGCATTGTCACAGAGTCCTAAATGATTTTTCTTTGTGTTGATGCACTTCATATGACTATCATTAATTTCCATCTCGTTTCAACTTAAGAGAGCATGCAGAAATGTGAGACTGACACTTATAAAAAATTTAAATAAATAATTTAAAAATTACTTGAGACTTGGCTTACAGCTAGTTTAGTTTTAAATCTTTGATTCATTAGGAATTACTTCTAGTCAAAGTAAGTCAAAATCTAGTTTCCCTCTAATGACAACATAGCTGTCCCATACAATGAATAATACGTCTTTTCCTTTCTTATTTGAAATGTTATGTTTATAATTTTCCAGATAATTACATGAATTTGGATCTATTTCTGAACTTCTATTCTGCTCATGCTCTAGTAGCCACATTGTTTTAACATTCTAGTCTTATATTTCAGTGTCTGGTAGGGCTAGTTTTCCCTTATTACTTTTCTTTAAGAAATTTCCCAGTTATTCTTATTTGTTTCTCCATATGAACTTTAGAGTCAGTTTATCTAGACGTACACACACATGCACAGCTATTGGTTTCAAAAAAAACAGTATTGTGCAGTGGTTAAAAGCACAGAATCTGAAATAATCTTGCCTGAGTTCATTTTGTAGTTCAGTAACTTTAACTGCAACCCTTGGGCAAGTTATTAACTTCTTTGTGCCTTGGTTTCTTCACTGAAAAATGGGCAAAAAGTGATACTAACATCACCCATGTAAAGTACTTGTGAGGACTAAATGAGTAATACATATAAAGTCCTTAGAACATGCCTGGCATAGAGTACATTCTCAATAAATACTAGCTATATCTTGTTGTGAGATATTAACTTCATGGGTTAAAAAAGGATTTTGATTTTTGCCAAAGAATCTTGTAAGTCTTTCCATTTAAGTCTCTGTTTGTATTTCTGAGAAGCAATTTAAAGTTGCTCTCAAGCAGATCTTGCAGGCTCTTTTTCCTCGTGTAATGGTTTTTGTACTAAGTCTTGTCCAATATTAGGAACATGATCCCTGCATGTTTGAGTTTGCACATGCCTATTACAGCTTTGCGTGTTCTTTAATTTTGTTATCCTTTCTGAGTTTCTTTGCTTTCATTTTCTTAGTAATCTGATTTGGGAATGTTTTAATAGAATTAGGAGAATTAGAATCTGGGAATGTTTTAATAGGAGAATGTTTTAATAGGAGAATTACTTTAATTAATATAGCATACATATTTAAGCTCTCATCAGTTATGAAATTGTATGCGATGTTTTCTAAAGTAAAAATACTTTACTAGTGACTGGGCATGGTATCTTGCGCCAGTAATCACAGCACTTTGGTAGGCTGAGTGACAGGATTGCTTGAACCCAGGAGTTAGAAGAGGCTGCAGTGATCTATGATCGTGCCATTGCACTCCAGCCTGGGCAACAGAGTGAGACCTCATTTCTTAAAAAACATTAAAATAAAATTACTCAATGATTTGTGCTTACTTTGTTTATGTACATATTCCTTCTGATAATAAAAAAGGTTTACTTTTTTGTTCTAGTAGCTACTTCAGAGTAAAAGTCTGAAGTCTTTTAACGGCCTCTGAAAGTCCAATATTCTCTGATATCCCATTTTCTCTGACTTCATCGCTTACCACTCTCCCTCCTATATTACTGTGCTTTACCCCTTTACACTCTTCCCTGTTTCTTGAGCCCAGCTACGTTTTTGCTTCAGGGCCTTTGTAATAGCAACTACCTTTGCTTAGAATACTGTTTCTCTAAATAACTATCTGGCTCAGTTCCTTCAAATATTTGTTCAAATTTCATTGTCTGACTAAGGTCTACTCACCCACTACAAAAAAAGCAATCTCATCAATGGGTACTCCTAATCCTTTTATGCTGTATTTCTCCCCATACATTTAACACCTCTTAACAAATTACTTATTATTTTTATTTTGTCTGTCTCCTCCAACCCATGAAGCAAAAATTTTCATCTGTTTTGGTCACTGACAGTGCTTGGCAAATAACAAGTCCTCATCGAATACATGTTAGGCAAAAAAACAAAAACAAAAACAAAAATCCTATATTTTATAGTTTTTTTATAACTATAGTTTTACATAAAATATACTGTAACATATAAAAATCCTATCTCTATTATCAGCAATGATTAATACAGCTATGTTTCTTTTTTCTTTCCCTCTACCACTCGGTTTATTAGATTATTTCTCTTAGTGTTTACCTTTCGCTCTAACCTACGTATCTATGTATCAACTATAGACTCCCCTCCACCCCAATCTTAAGATTTTACTAGATTTATTGATTTCAAATGACATCTTTTGACAGGTTGTTATAAAACATGACAACATCATTTATTTCCTCATCAACTTTCATTACTGCACTGTCAAGGTTTTAACGATTCATATTCTGCTCTATAAATCTAATTTCCACATTTGTTTTAGTCTTAATGCTATAGATCAATGGACTCTATGTTCACTGCCAATACTTTAGCTGTAGTTTCTCCTTTCATTTCTTGGTTGGCTGCACTTCTTCCTGTAGAAGTAGGACTCATAAAAGCTAAATTTCCTGTAGCTTGGCATGTTAATTTCTAAATTAATCTTTCCTTGAGGATTTGGAAGGGAAAGTATCCGTGTTGAATGCTGCTTTGAAGAAGTCTGAGGTCAGCAGCTTCCTTTGGAGAACTGTGCTTGGCTGGCTTTGTTGGGGATCTGCAACCATAGGTATCATTCCTCAGGGTTTCCCCACACACCTCTATTTGACCTTCACTGGATCTGACAACCTTCCTTTATATAATAAGTGTTTTGGAATTGCAGAGATCTCCCTAGTTGTGCTGAAGATGGGGCTTGTATTTTTGTCTTATTCTCTTTCCTATTCCAAGATGTGAGAAGAGAAGAGAGAAACTGCTGCCTTTACTGGGCCATTATTTGTTTATGTAGTAACTTTTAAATACTCACATCTTCAAACACATACAGTAGGAAGCACAGTGTGAAGAAATCTCATGAACCCATCATCTGCTTCTATATTTATCAACATTTTATCAAATTCAGTTCATCTATATCCACCTAGTTTTTTCCCTTCAGTGTATCTTAGAAGGAAATCCCAACCATCATATCACTTCAATATACATACACTGGGCCGTTTTAAAACAGAAATCCTCTGTCCTCTATGACTTCATAAATTATCCTTAACAGTAATAAAATATGTTTTTGTGGGGCAGAGAACCACATCATTACATGGTTGGTTATGAGTAATATTTGTTAGATGATATAGAACATGGGTTGGCAGGCTGGCTGCCAGTTTTTGTAAATACATTTTATTAGAACATAACAAAACTCATTCATTTACTTACTCTCTATACCCCACTCAACTACTTTCACATCACAACAGCAAAATTGAGTGGTTGATATACAGCTGCAAGAGTTGAGTAGCTGCAACAGAGACCACATGGCCCACAAAGTATCAAATATTTACCATCTGGCCCTTTAAGAAAATGTTTGCTGATCCTTGCTTATAGAACAGTTTCTGTAGTTTTGGGATAATTCACTTTCTCAAAGTCCTTCCCACCTACTTCTATAATGACACTGCCAATTATAAAGTACCACATATTAAGTATTTACAAACACACATATAAGTCCTTTTTTTCCTTTAAACCTTCCAGAAGTTTAGAGTCTAATAAAGATAACAAAAACAAAAATTATTTTGCTCTTGCCTTTTTTCCTTGAAATATGGCAACAACAAAAAACAAAAAAAACCAAGGAAGCAATTATAAGAGCTCAAGGTCAAAGAACCATCGCTATTCTAAACTCTTCCATAACTCCCCTAAATTGAAAATATTTCGTGGTTTAAATTTTGTATTTTTAACATGTCACAAGAAAATAGTAAGTTTTTAAAAGTTTTTTTCCTTTACTGTTTAGGTTTTTTTTTCCTCCCCCTTTACTTTCCTTGGAAGCTTTTAATAAATATTTGACTGATGCTGAAAGTTTGAAAAATATACCAAAAAGTTAAAAAAGAAAGAAAAGTCAGCAAAAACAATCAGGCAAATGGTATGTAATATTTACATATTTAAATTTCACAGGCAGATACCAAGATTAAAATAGTCAAGTTAAATCTTGGCAGATACAAAGATTAAACTTCAGTAAAGTTAATTATTTAGAAAG